CAAGTTCACTTGTCTGCTGGTGGTGGCATCACAACTTCTGTTGTCTGCTGGTGGTGGCATCACAACTTCTGTTGTCTGCTGGTGGTGGCATCACAACTTCTGTTGTCTGCTGGTGGTGGCATCACAACTTCTGTTGTCTGCTGGTGGTGGCATCACAACTTCTGTTGTCTGCTGGTGGTGGCATCACAACTTCTGTTGTCTGCTGGTGGTGGCATCACAACTTCTGTTGTCTGCTGGTGGTGGCATCACAACTTCTGTTGTCTGCTGGTGGTGGTTGTCTGCTGGTGTGGCATCACAACTTCTGTTGTCTGCTGGTGGTGGCATCACAACTTCTGTTGTCTGCTGGTGGTGGCATCACAACTTCTGTTGTCTGCTGTCACAACTTCTGTTGTGTCACAACTGCTGGTGGTGGCATCACAACTTCTGTTGTCTGCTGGTGGTGGCATCACAACTTCTGTTGTCTGCTGGTGGCATCACAACTTCTGTTGTCTGCTGGTGGTGGCATCACAACTTCTGTTGGTTGTGACGGTACATCACAACGGTACGAGGTACAGCTCTGACATCTGTCTCTTTAACAACCATCACTACTGTCTAACAACCATCACTGCTGTCTAACAACCATCACTGCTGTCTAACAACCGTCACTACTGTCTAACAACCATCACTACTGTCTAACAACCATCATTTACTGTCTACAACCATCACAACTGTCTAACAACCATCATTTACTGTCTAACAACCATCACAACTGTCTAACAACCATCATTTACTGTCTACAACCATCACAACTGTCTAACAACCATCATTTACTGTCTAACAACCATCACAACTGTCTAACCACCATCATTACTGTCTAACAACCTTTGCTACTGTCTAACAACCATCACAACTGTCTAACAACCGTCACTATTGTGTTTGACACCAACGGCCTTAAAACAGTCGTTATAGAATCACAATTCACCATAGAAAGTTACGTGAGACCAATTCTTAACAGTCTGGCTATTTTGGCGAGCTGTGATTGGTTGTAAGATCAAAAATTAACCAATCAGATGCTAGCGCGATGATGCTACGCGACAGCAAAAAGGCGGTGATTGGCCGCCCAGACGGTCAGTTGATACCCAGCCTCGGAGGGGAAGAGTCGCGCTTCGTCGCAGCTCTGGAAAAATCTATATACCTTTGCTGCTTATAGTGCCAGTATATTATAGCCCATTGTGGCATTACTCAAGCTGGTTTATGAGTCTTACTAGACCACTACACTTCCACAGCATCCCCCAACCATCCCCAACCACTTTAACCACTCCACAATCCCACTAGTCTGAGAAAAGGTCAATTGAAGCAGAATATGAAGCAAGCACAAGTGGTTTCACCCACCTCGCATGCTAATATCACGCCTAACATGACCTTGTTCTGGTTACATTAAAACTGGTGAGAACTATTATGTTCCTTATTAATGCTACTCAATAGCGCGGTCGGTAGAGCTTCGAGTTCTCAGGCGTGGGGTCTACTGTTCGAGTCTCCAAGGCAATGGAATTGGAAGGACCACTGGGAAGGGGTCAGGATAAGGATTTGGGATGGGACAGGGGGAAGGAATGGTGCCCAACCACTTGTGTGGACGGTCGGGGGATTGAACGCCGACCTGCATGACGCGAGACCGTCGCTTTACCGTCCAGCCCAAGTGATTGGATAGTGGTACAGCACTCGGCTTTGCATCACCACTTGGGTTGGACGGTAGAGCGACGGTCTCGCTTCATGCAGGTCGGCGTTCAATCCCCGACCGTCCACACAAGTGGTTGGCCACCATTCCTTCCCCCCGTCCCATCCCAAATCCTTATCCTGACACTTTCCCAGTGGTCATGATGATGGTAGCCGAGGCTAGTTGCCCATCATCTCGGTTGCATGGTGCTCCTGGCAGTATGGGTTCGAGTCACTTCTGGGGTGAGGAGTGTTCAGTTATACACACACACACACACACACACACACACACACACACACACAGGCTGGAGACTGACTCCATACACAGTTTCAAGTGTAGATATGATAGAGCCCAATAGGCTCAGGAACCTGTACACCAGTTGATTGACAGTTGAGAGGTGGGACCAAAGAGCCAGAGCTCAACCCCCCGCAAACACAACTAGGTGAGTACAACTAGGTGAGTACACACACACATATGTAAGACCAATCCTGGAGTATGCGGCCCCAGCATGGAGCCCGTACCTTGTCAAGCACAAGACGAAGCTGGAAAAAGTCCAAAGGTATGCTACTAGACTAGTCCCAGAACTAAGAGGCATGAGTTATGAGGAAAGGCTGCGGGAAATGCACCTTACGTCACTGGAAGACAGAAGAGCAAGGGGGGACATGATCACAACCTACAAAATCCTCAGGGGAATCGACCGGGTAAACAAGGATTAACTATTCAACACTGGTGGGACGCGAACAAGGAAACACAGGTGGAAGCTGAGTACCCAAATGAGCCACAGAGACGTTAGAAAGAACTTTTTCAGTGTCAGAGTAGTTAGTAAATGGAATGCATTAGGAAGTGATGTGGTGGAGGCTGACTCCATACACAGTTTATAATGTAGATATGATAGAGCCCAATAGGCTCAGGAATCTGTACACCAGTTGATTGACGGTTGAGAGGCGGGACCAAAGAGCCAGAGCTCAACCCCCGCAAGCACAATTAGGTGAGTACAATTAGGTGAGTACACACACACACACACACACACACACACACACACACACACACACACACACACACAGGTTTGATACACAGTATCCTACTGGGCCATTTTTTCCATTGTATCAATATTGTTTTGTTTGTGGGTGTAGTACAATGATGGTCGAGGGCCTTGTTTGGCCGGCCCGCCCGAACGACCCATCATTGAAACCAACTAAAGTGGATTTATTTGGAGTCATTCGTGTAACAGTGTTGGGGCAGCAATATATATAACCGCGCCAATTGTATCGCTGCAGCAACCAGTATTCACCAACACGTGCATTGGTTTATGAGGAAAACTCAGGGAATTATCGTTTATTGCCACACACACGCGTGCGCACACACACACACACACTCACACACACACACACTCACACACACACACACACACACACACACACACACACTCACACACACACACACAGGGACCAAAGAGCCAGAGCTCAACCCCCGCAAGCACAATTAGGTGAGTACACACACACACACACACACTCACACACACTCACACACACACAAACACACACACACACACACACACACGCATGACTGTATGTGATGCAACTATATAACCTGAGCTTGTAAAAGCATCTTAATCACCTTCAGTGGGTAAGTGCTTAATTACACACTAGTTCCTATAGCAGCTATCTTACCCTGTCAGAGTAGGAGAGACATAAATGTGTGTGTGCATATATATATATATATATATATATATATATATATATATATATATATATATATATATATATATATATATATATATATTGTATGCTTTATAATAAAGGAAGTTAATTTCCTAGAGGCTGTAGATTTCCTCGAACTCCGACGCCGGCAGGAACCGAGGATGCAGCGGGCATTCCCCCTCTGGATCGCGACACTGAGGCGCTGGAAGAGAAAACTTGCCACTCTAGGGTCCCTTGTGGTGTTAATGAGCTTGGAACCAAGATCCTTAAGAAACCTTCTTGCACTCTCTCCCCATGGGCCTAGGGTCTCAGACCCTATTGGAACGAAGTTGTACCGATCAATTTCCCTGTTCTTGGCTGACTTGTCTCTTTCTCTGTGTGTCGCCGCGGCTCCTGCTTGGCCGACACAGTGGTTGATGTATGTGGTTGCCAGGGTGGATACGCAAGTATAGTCCCATGGCAACTGCCTGCCACCCTTCCACGGGCGCAGTGTGATTCCCTCTGGTTGGCCGGCAAAGATAGCAAAGTTACGGTTCAATAGATTGCAGGGCTCTCTCTCTGCTGGACACTGGGCAGAGCCAAGGCTTCTTTTAATGATGTCATTGACTTCGTCGTGTCTAGAGTGCCAACCGCCAGATTTTCCACAGTGCAGGCCATGCAATCCATATTCGTCAGCATCTGCCTCGCCGCAAATACACCTGTGAACAGTGTGGATAGGGGCAGCAAGACGGAGAGTGACTGCAATACGGAGCTCCTGCGGATCAAGACGTGTGCCTGTCGCAGACATAGGGACTGCCAAAAGGAAGTCCCCTGCATGGGGAGCCTGCACTGCTGTGAGGCGTGCACGATCACTGGGGGTTGTTGCTGCCTCCAGCAAAGCTGTGGCTTCTTTGTCTACAATGGGGCTGTCCCAACTGGATTGTTTCTTGGCTTTCAACATGGTTAGTTGAAAGTATATATATATATATATATATATATATATATATATATATATATATATATATATATATATATATATATATATATATATATATATATATATATAATAAATGCGGAAAAACCACATGTTAAAAATAGAGAATGCTAAACACGTTTTCAGCTCAATTCGCCTTCATCAGAGCAAAATAGAATGAAGAAGGATACGTTGTAGGCAGACTCTATACTCGCCAGGGCAGGTCACCTGACCACCAAGAATCCTACGGATGAAAGGGGGACGATAAAGGTCGAAGGAAAGGGGCAGATAAGGATAACTGTTCAAAACAAAAACACTGGATAATAAATACAAGTGCCACTGGATGGAAATAAACACAGGTTAAATGGATGCTATATTGTATTGACGTGCTATATTGAAGCTTATATGAGGGATCTAATTTATATATGCCAGGGATTACATTATGGCTGTTATTTCATTGATCAGAGCGGACTCGATCATATTTCGTTCAACGAAACCCTTTTAACAACACATTTTGCCCCTCCAAAGTGGCTAGAATTATCACATAAACTTGAATGTAAATACAATGCACTGGAGTGCTGGGCTGTACGAATAGCATAAGACTGTTGCTTTAATTGTGAAGCAAGAGAGTTACCAGTCTGGCCGATGTAAACACATGCACACTCGTTGCCAACGCTTACACGTTGGCAGGTCAGTAAGGACATGGGGCAGGTCAGCCAGCCGCCAAGCCAGAGTCAGCAGGGCTGCCAGCCGCCAAGCCAGAGTCAGCAGGTCAGCCAGCCGCCAAGCCAGAGTCAGCAGGGCTGCCAGCCGCCAAGCCAGAGTCAGCAGGGCTGCCAGCCGCCAAGCCAGAGTCAGCAGGGCTGCCAGCCACCAAGCCAGAGTCAGCAGGGCTGCCAGCCGCCAAGCCAGAGTCAGCAGGGCTGCCAGCCGCCAAGCCAGAGTCAGCAGGTCAGCCAGTGCCAAGCCAGAGTCAGCAGGGCTGCCAGCCGCCAAACCAGAGTCAGCAGGTCAGCCAGCCGCCAAGCCAGAGTCAGCAGGTCAGCCAGCCGCCAAGCCTGAGTCAGCAGGTCAGCCAGCCGCCAAGCCAGAGTCAGCAGAGCTGCCAGCCACCAAGCCAGAGTCAGCAGGGCTGCCAGCCACCAAGCCGGAGTCAGCAGGGCTGCCAGCCGCCAAGCCAGAGTCAGCAGGGCTGCCAGCCACCAAGCCAGAGTCAGCAGGGCTGCCAGCCGCCAAGCCAGAGTCAGCAGGGCTGCCAGCCGCCAAGCCAGAGTCAGCAGGGCTGCCAGCCACCAAGCCAGAGTCAGCAGTGTTGCCAGCCACCAAGCCAGAGTCAGCAGTGTTGCCAGCCACCAAGCCAGAGTCAGCAGGGCTGCCAGCCGCCAAGCCAGAGTCAGCAGTGTTGCCAGCCACCAAGCCAGAGTCAGCAGAGCTGCCAGCAGCCAAGCCAGAGTCAGCAGGGCTGCCAGCCGCCAAGCCAGAGTCAGCAGGTCAGCCAGCCGCCAAGCCAGAGTCAGCAGTGTTGCCAGCCACCAAGCCAGAGTCAGCAGGGCTGCCAGCAGCCAAGCCAGAGTCAGCAGGGCTGCCAGCTGCCAAGCCAGAGTCAGCAGGGCTGCCAGCCGCCAAGCCAGAGTCAGCAGGGCTGCCAGCCGCCAAGCCAGAGTCAGTAGGGCTGCCAGCCACCAAGCCAGAGTCAGCAGTGTTGCCAGCCACCAAGCCAGAGTCAGCAGGGCTGCCAGCTGCCAAGCCAGAGTCAGCAGGTCAGCCAGCCGCCAAGCCAGAGTCAGCAGGGCTGCCAGCCACCAAGCCAGAGTCAGCAGGGCTGCCGGCTGCCAAGCCAGAGTCAGCAGAGCTGCCAGCCACCAAGCCAGAGTCAGCAGGGCTGCCAGCCACCAAGCCAGAGTCAGCAGGGCTGCCAGCCGCCAAGCCAGAGTCAGCAGGGCTGCCAGCCACCAAGCCAGAGTCAGCAGAGCTGCCAGCCGCCAAGCCAGAGTCAGCAGGGCTGCCAGCCGCCAAGCCAGAGTCAGCAGGGCTGCCAGCCACCAAGCCAGAGTCAGCAGGGCTGCCAGCCGCCAAGCCAGAGTCAGCAGTGTTGCCAGCCACCAAGCCAGAGTCAGCAGGGCTGCCAGCCGCCAAGCCAGAGTCAGCAGTGTTGCCAGCCACCAATCCAGAGTCAGCAGGGCTGCCAGCCGCCAAGCCAGAGTCAGCAGGGCTGCCAGCCGCCAAGCCAGAGTCAGCAGGTCAGCCAGCCGCCAAGCCAGAGTCAGCAGGGCTGCCAGCCGCCAAGCCAGAGTCAGCAGGGCTGCCAGCCGCCAAGCCAGAGTCAGCAGATCAGCCAGCCACCAATCCAGAGTCAGCAGGGCTGCCAGCCGCCAAGCCAGAGTCAGCAGGGCTGCCAGCCGCCAAGCCAGAGTCAGCAGGGCTGCCACCAGCATCAATTACACCTGTCCCAGTGTTCCTCAAGTAATTAAGTCTGACCTGAGCAGGAGTCCATTAGCACCTGTTGTAATGACTTATATAATCTTTTCAGACGGGGAGACTTTGCCCTAAGAGTAAGGTGGCGCTGGGATCATCAATGGTGTAGGGAGGTGGCGCTGGGATCATCAATGGTGTAGGGAGGTGGCGCTGGGATCATCAATGGTGTAGGGAGGTGGGGCGCTGGGGTCATCAATGGTGTAGGGAGGTGGCGCTGGGATCATCAATGGTGTAGGGAGGTGGGGCGCTGGGATCATCAATGGTGTAGGGAGGTGGCGCTGGGATCATCAATGGTGTAGGGAGGTGGCGCTGGGATCATCAATGGTGTAGGGAGGTGGCGCTGGGGTCATCAATGGTGTAGGGAGGTGGCGCTGGGATCATCAATGGTGTAGGGAGGTGGGGCGCTGGGATCATCAATGGTGTAGGGAGGTGGGGCGCTGGGGTCATCAATGGTGTAGGGAGGTGGAGCGCTGGGGTCATCAATGGTGTAGGGAGGTGGGGCGCTGGGATCATCAATGGTGTAGGGAGGTGGGGCGCTGGGATCATCAATGGTGTAGGGAGGTGGAGCGCTGGGGTCATCAATGGTGTAGGGAGGTGGAGCGCTGGGGTCATCAATGGTGTAGGGAGGTGGGGCGCTGGGATCATCAATGGTGTAGGGAGGTGGAGCGCTGGGATCATCAATGGTGTAGGGAGGTGGCGCTGGGGTCATCAATGGTGTAGGGAGGTGGGGCGCTGGGATCATCAATGGTGTAGGGAGGTGGGGCGCTGGGATCATCAATGGTGTAGGGAGGTGGAGCGCTGGAATCATCAATGGTGTAGGGAGGTGGCGCTGGGATCATCAATGGTGTAGGGAGGTGGGGCGCTGGGATCATCAATGGTGTAGGGAGGTGGCGCTGGGGTCATCAATGGTGTAGGGAGGTGGCGCTCGGGTCATCAATGGTGTAGGGAGGTGGCGCTCGGATCATCAATGGTGTAGGGAGGTGGCGCTCGGGTCATCAATGGTGTAGGGAGGTGGCGCTCGGGTCATCAATGGTGTAGGGAGGTGGCGCTCGGGTCATCAATGGTGTAGGGAGGTGGCGCTCGGATCATCAATGGTGTAGGGAGGTGGGGCGCTCGGATCATCAATGGTTTAGGGAGGCGGGGCACTCGGATCATCAATGGTGTAGGGAGGTGGCGCTGGGATCATCAATGGTGTAGGGAGGTGGGGCACTCGGGTCATCAATGGTTTAGGGAGGTGGCGCTGGGATCATCAATGGTGTAGGGAGGTGGGGCGCTCGGGTCATCAATGGTTTAGGGAGGTGGAGCGCTGGGATCATCAATGGTTTAGGGAGGTGGGGCGCTGGGATCATCAATGGTGTAGGGAGGTGGCGCTGGGATCATCAATGGTGTAGGGAGGTGGAGCGCTGGGATCATCAATGGTGTAGGGAGGTGGCGCTGGGGTCATCAATGGTGTAGGGAGGTGGCGCTGGGATCATCAATGGTGTAGGGAGGTGGCGCTGGGATCATCAATGGTGTAGGGAGGTGGGGCTGGGGTCATCAATGGTGTAGGGAGGTGGCGCTGGGGTCATCAATGGTGTAGGGAGGTGGGGCTGGGATCATCAATGGTGTAGGGAGGTGGGGCGCTGGGATCATCAATGGTGTAGGGAGGTGGGGCGCTGGGATCATCAATGGTGTAGGGAGGTGGAGCGCTGGGATCATCAATGGTGTAGGGAGGTGGGGCGCTCGGGTCATCAATGGTGTAGGGAGGTGGCGCTGGGATCATCAATGGTGTAGGGAGGTGGCGCTGGGGTCATCAATGGTGTAGGGAGGTGGCGCTGGGATCATCAATGGTGTAGGGAGGTGGCGCTGGGATCATCAATGGTGTAGGGAGGTGGGGCGCTGGGATCATCAATGGTGTAGGGAGGTGGGGCGCTGGGGTCATCAATGGTGTAGGGAGGTGGGGCGCTGGGGTCATCAATGGTGTAGGGAGGTGGAGCGCTGGGATCATCAATGGTTTAGGGAGGTGGCGCTGGGATCATCAATGGTGTAGGGAGGTGGAGCGCTGGGGTCATCAATGGTGTAGGGAGGTGGAGCGCTGGGATCATCAATGGTGTAGGGAGGCGGAGCGCTGGGGTCATCAATGGTGTAGGGAGGTGGCGCTGGGATCATCAATGGTGTAGGGAGGTGGCGCTGGGATCATCAATGGTGTAGGGAGGTGGAGCGCTGGGATCATCAATGGTGTAGGGAGGTGGAGCGCTGGGGTCATCAATGGTGTAGGGAGGTGGAGCGCTGGGATCATCAATGGTGTAGGGAGGTGGAGCGCTGGGATCATCAATGGTGTAGGGAGGTGGGGCGCTCGGATCATCAATGGTTTAGGGAGGTGGCGCTGGGATCATCAATGGATCATCAATGGTGTAGGGAGGTGGCGCTGGGATCATCAATGGTGTAGGGAGGTGGCGCTGGGATCATCAATGGTGTAGGGAGGTGGCGCTGGGATCATCAATGGTGTAGGGAGGTGGAGCGCTGGGGTCATCAATGGTGTAGGGAGGTGGCGCTGGGATCATCAATGGTGTAGGGAGGTGGAGCGCTGGGGTCATCAATGGTGTAGGGAGGTGGAGCGCTGGGATCATCAATGGTGTAGGGAGGCGGAGCGCTGGGATCATCAATGGTGTAGGGAGGTGGGGCACTCGGATCATCAATGGTTTAGGGAGGTGGCGCTGGGATCATCAATGGTGTAGGGAGGTGGCGCTCGGATCATCAATGGTGTAGGGAGGTGGCGCTGGGATCATCAATGGTGTAGGGAGGTGGCGCTGGGATCATCAATGGTGTAGGGAGGTGGCGCTGGGATCATCAATGGTGTAGGGAGGTGGGGCGCTGGGGTCATCAATGGTGTAGGGAGGTGGGGCGCTGGGGTCATCAATGGTGTAGGGAGGTGGGGCGCTGGGATCATCAATGGTGTAGGGAGGTGGCGCTGGGATCATCAATGGTTTAGGGAGGTGGGGCGCTGGGATCATCAATGGTGTAGGGAGGTGGGGCGCTCGGGTCATCAATGGTGTAGGGAGGTGGAGCGCTGGGATCATCAATGGTGTAGGGAGGTGGGGCGCTGGGATCATCAATGGTTTAGGGAGGTGGAGCGCTGGGATCATCAATGGTGTAGGGAGGTGGCGCTGGGATCATCAATGGTGTAGGGAGGTGGGGCGCTGGGATCATCAATGGTGTAGGGAGGTGGCGCTGGGATCATCAATGGTGTAGGGAGGTGGCGCTGGGATCATCAATGGTGTAGGGAGGTGGCGCTGGGATCATCAATGGTGTAGGGAGGTGGGGCGCTGGGGTCATCAATGGTGTAGGGAGGTGGGCGCTGGGGTCATCAATGGTGTAGGGAGGTGGCGCGCTCGGGTCATCAATGGTGTAGGGAGGTGGGGCGCTGGGATCATCAATGGTGTAGGGAGGTGGGGCGCTGGGATCATCAATGGTGTAGGGAGGTGGCGCTGGGGTCGCTGGGATCATCAATGGTTTAGGGAGGTGGCGCTGGGATCATCAATGGTGTAGGGAGGTGGGACGCTGGGGTCATCAATGGTGTAGGGAGGTGGCGCTCGGGTCATCAATGGTGTAGGGAGGTGGGGCGCTGGGATCATCAATGGTTTAGGGAGGTGGGGCGCTCGGGTCATCAATGGTGTAGGGAGGTGGGGCGCTCGGGTCATCAATGGTGTAGGGAGGTGGGGCGCTCGGGTCATCAATGTTTTAGGGAGGTGGGGCGCTCGGGTCATCAATGGTGTAGGGAGGTGGCGCTGGGATCATCAATGGTGTAGGGAGGTGGCGCTCGGATCATCAATGGTGTAGGGAGGTGGCGCTCGGATCATCAATGGTTTAGGGAGGTGGGGCGCTGGGATCATCAATGGTGTAGGGAGGTGGCGCTCGGATCATCAATGGTGTAGGGAGGTGGCGCTCGGATCATCAATGGTTTAGGGAGGTGGGGCGCTGGGGTCATCAATGGTGTAGGGAGGTGGGGCGCTCGGATCATCAATGGTTTAGGGAGGTGGGGCGCTCGGTTCATCAATGGTGTAGGGAGGGGGGGCGCTGGGGTCATCAATGGTGTAGGGAGGTGGGGCGCTCGGATCATCAATGGTGTAGGGAGGTGGGGCGCTCGGGTCATCAATGGTTTAGGGAGGTGGGGCGCTCGGGTCATCAATGGTGTAGGGAGGTGGGGCGCTCGGATCATCAATGGTGTAGGGAGGTGGGGCGCTCGGGTCATCAATGGTTTAGGGAGGTGGGGCGCTCGGGTCATCAATGGTGTAGGGAGGTGGGGCGCTCGGATCATCAATGGTGTAGGGAGGCGGAGCGCTGGGATCATCAATGGTGTAGGGAGGTGGGGCGCTGGGGTCATCAATGGTGTAGGGAGGTGGGGCGCTGGGGTCATCAATGGTGTAGGGAGGTGGGGCGCTGGGGTCATCAATGGTTTAGGGAGGTGGGGCGCTCGGATCATCAATGGTGTAGGGAGGTGGGGCGCTGGGATCATCAATGGTTTAGGGAGGTGGGGCGCTCGGGTCATCAATGGTGTAGGGAGGTGGGGCCCTCGGATCATCAATGTTTTAGGGAGGTGGGGCGCTCGGGTCATCAATGGTGTAGGGAGGTGGGGCGCTCGGGTCATCAATGTTTTAGGGAGGTGGGGCGCTCGGGTCATCAATGGTTTAGGGAGGTGGGGCGCTGGGATCATCAATGGTTTAGGGAGGTGGGGCGCTCGGGTCATCAATGGTGTAGGGAGGTGGGGCGCTCGGGTCATCAATGTTTTAGGGAGGTGGGGCGCTCGGGTCATCAATGGTGTAGGGAGGTGGGGCCCTCGGATCATCAATGGTTTAGGGAGGTGGGGCGCTCGGGTCATCAATGGTGTAGGGAGGTGGGGCGCTCGGATCATCAATGGTGTAGGGAGGCGGAGCGCTCGGATCATCAATGGTGTAGGGAGGTGGGGCGCTGGGATCATCAATGGTGTAGGGAGGTGGGGCGCTGGGATCATCAATGGTGTAGGGAGGTGGGGCGCTCGGGTCATCAATGGTTTAGGGAGGTGGGGCGCTGGGATCATCAATGGTGTAGGGAGGTGGGGCGCTGGGATCATCAATGGTGTAGGGAGGTGGAGCGCTCGGATCATCAATGGTGTAGGGAGGTGGAGCGCTCGGATCATCAATGGTGTAGGGAGGTGGGGCGCTCGGATCATCAATGGTGTAGGGAGGTGGGGCGCTCGGATCATCAATGGTGTAGGGAGGTGGGGCGCTCGGATCATCAATGGTGTAGGGAGGTGGGGCGCTCGGATCATCAATGGTGTAGGGAGGTGGGGCGCTCGGATCATCAATGGACAGTAAAGTCTAAATCACTTAAATCATCACACGAACGATGAGGAAGGTAATACAATCGAAGCACCAATGAGAAATTGATGTTCGAGCAGGGCCTACTCTAGCTATTAGGTTACCCCTGAGGAACAGCCATTTGAGAAATAGAAAACGGAGATTGATGAGTCTTAACCCAGAAAGGAATTTGAGATTTTCGTTTCATTTGAGGCGGCTCTTTGCTCATTAGTGAAAATTATAGTTTCCTAGGCAGCACGTGGAGGTGGTGGTAGGTGGTGGGGGTTACGGTGGGTGGTTGTAGGTGGTGGTGGGGGTTACGGGGGGTGGTTGTAGGTGGTGGTGGGGGGTTACGGGGGGTGGTTGTAGGTGGTGGTGGGGGTTACGGGGGGTGGTTGTAGGTGGTGGTGGGGGGTTACGGGGGGTGGTTGTAGGTGGTGGTGGGGGTTACGGGGGGTGGTTGCAGGTGGTGGTGTGGGTTACGGTGGGTGGTTGCAGGTGGTGGTGGGGGTTACGGTGGGTGGTTGTAGGTGGTGGTGGTTGTTAAGGGGGTTGTTGCAGGTGGTGGTGGTTACGGTGGGTGGTTGTAGGTGGTGGTGGGGGTTACGGGGGGTGGTTGCAGGTGGTGGTGGGGGTTACGGGGGGTGGTTGCAGGTGGTGGTGGGGGTTACGGTGGGTGGTTGCAGGTGGTGGTGGGGGTTACGGGGGGTGGTTGCAGGTGGTGGTGGGGGTTACGGGGGGTGGTTGCAGGTGGTGGTGGGGGTTACGGTGGGTGGTTGCAGGTGGTGGTGGGGGTTACGGGGGGTGGTTGCAGGTGGTGGTGGGGGTTACGGTGAGTGGTTGTAGGTGGTGGTGGGGGTTACGGTGGGTGGTTGTAGGTGGTGGTGGGGGTTACGGGGGGTGGTTGCAGGTGGTGGTGGTGGTTACGGGGGGTGGTTGCAGGTGGTGGTGGTTACGGTGGGTGGTTGTAGGTGGTGGTGGGGGTTACGGGGGGTGGTTGCAGGTGGTGGTGGGGGTTACGGGGGGTGGTTGCAGGTGGTGGTGGTTACGGTGGGTGGTTGTAGGTGGTGGTGGGGGTTACGGGGGGTGGTTGCAGGTGGTGGTGGGGGTTACGGGGGGTGGTTGTAGGTGGTGGTGGGGGCTACGGTGGGTGGTTGCAGGTGGTGGTGGTTGTTAAGGGGGTGGTTGCAGGTGGTGGTTGTTAAGGGGGTGGTGGTTGTTAAGGTGGTGGTGGTTGTTAAGGGGGTGGTGGTTGTTAAGGGGGTGGTTGCAGGTGGTGGTTGTTAAGGGGGTGGTGGTTGTTAAGGTGGTGGTGGTTGTTAAGGGGGTGGTTGCAGGTGGTGGTTGTTAAGGGGGTGGTGGTTGTTAAGGTGGTGGTGGTTGTTAAGGGGGTGGTGGTTGTTAAGGGGGTGGTGGTTGTTAAGGTGGTGGTGGTTGTTAAGGGGGTGGTGGTTGTTAAGGGGGTGGTAGTTGTTAAGGGGGTGGTGGTTGTTAAGGGGGTGGTGGTTGTTAAGGGGGTGGTGGTTGTTAAGGGGGTGGTGGTTGTTAAGGGGGTGGTGGTTGTTAAGGGGGTGGTGGTTGTTAAGGGGGTGGTGGTTGTTAAGGGGGTGGTGGTTGTTAAGGGGGTGGTGGTTGTTAAGGGGGTGGTGGTTGTTAAGGGGGTGGTGGTTGTTAAGGGGGTGGTGGTTGTTAAGGTGGTGGTGGTTGTTAAGGGGGTGGTGGTTGTTAAGGGGGTGGTGGTTGTTAAGGGGGTGGTGGTTGTTAAGGGGGTGGTGGTTGTTAAGGGGGTGGTGGTTGCAGGGGGTGGTGGTTGTTAAGGGGGTGGTTGTAGGTGGTGGTGGTTGTTAAGGGGGTGGTTGCAGGTGGTGGTGGTTGTTAAGGGGGTGGTTGTAGGTGGTGGTGGTTGTTAAGGGGGTGGTTGTAGGTGGTGGTGGTTGTTAAGGGGGTGGTTGTAGGTGGTGGTGGTTGTTAAGGGGGTGGTTGTAGGTGGTGGTGGTTGTTAAGGGGGTGGTTGCAGGTGGTGGTGGTTGTTAAGGGGGTGGTTGTAGGTGGTGGTGGTTGTTAAGGGGGTGGTTGTAGGTGGTGGTGGTTGTTAAGGGGGTGGTTGCAGGTGGTGGTGGTTGTTAAGGGGGTGGTTGCAGGTGGTGGTGGTTGTTAAGGGGGTGGTTGTAGGTGGTGGTGGTTGTTAAGGGGGTGGTTGTAGGTGGTGGTGGTTGTTAAGGGGGTGGTTGTAGGTGGTGGTGGTTGTTAAGGGGGTGGTTGCAGGTGGTGGTGGTTGTTAAGGGGGTGGTTGTAGGTGGTGGTGGTTGTTAAGGGGGTGGTTGTAGGTGGTGGTGGTTGTTAAGGGGGTGGTTGCAGGTGGTGGTGGTTGTTAAGGGGGTGGTTGCAGGTGGTGGTGGTTGTTAAGGGGGTGGTTGCAGGTGGTGGTGGTTGTTAAGGGGGTGGTTGTAGGTGGTGGTGGTTGTTAAGGGGGTGGTTGTAGGTGGTGGTGGTTGTTAAGGGGGTGGTTGCAGGTGGTGGTGGTTGTTAAGGGGGTGGTTGCAGGTGGTGGTGGTTGTTAAGGGGGTGGTTGCAGGTGGTGGTGAGTAGTAGGGTGTAAGCGCCACAGGTCCCCATTTTTTTTTTTGCCAGAGGACCCCTGTAGGGTGTAAGCGCCACAGGTCCCCATTTTTTTTTTGCCAGAGGACCCCTGTGGGGTGTAAGCGCCACAGGTCCCCATTTTTTTTTTCAGGTCAAATATCCCCTTTGCGCCCCAAGGGTTTCAGGTAAATTTAGAAAATCCCCTGTGGGCCCCCAGGGTTTCAGGTAAATTTTGTCAGTCACAGATTTTAGAAGTAAGGATTTCTTATGAGAAAAATAATTTCCGAGACATAGAAGTTTGTTAAGGCCTTATGGGACAAATTCAAATAACGTATGTAGCTCTTTAGGGCTTCCAGGAGAACTCTACGGACATATTTTACATGTTTTCAACTTACAAAATCGTCTATGTAAGCCTTAGTTATTCATGTAAATTTAGAAAAATCACCTGTGTAAGTCATGGTTTTCAGGGTTTCGTACATCACACCCCCTCCCTCCCCCCTTACCTCGCAATCTCTCGCGTCACCTTTATTTACCTTACGCCCTGCCAGCCAGTCGGCTCTTATCATATCTTATCTTCTCCATAATATCTCTACCATCCCTCCTCTCTCTCTCTCTCCTCCTATTTCCTTACAACTATTTTCAGAGTTTCAAATAATCATAGAAGTTTATTTATATGTTTATGACCGAATTTGTAAAAGGATCATTTTCAGAGAATATTGTCTTAGATGTTTTGTTAAGGAAAACAGGCAACTTATCCATAACATTTAGTTTTATATCCATTTACGGCTATTTCATCTGTAAAGACCAAATTGAACAGAGCCCAGTTTTAAGCTCATATTTCATCAGAGTCCAGTTTATACCGAAAATTCGCCAGAGTCTACTTTGAGAGCAATATTCGTCAGAGACAGTTTTAGCTCATATTTCATCAGAGACCATTTTATACCTAAAAATGAACAGAGTCCACTTTGTGAGCAAATTAGTCAGAGTCAGTACTTAGCTCATATTTCATCAGAGTCCAATTATCAACAGAAATTCGCCAGAGTCTACTTTGAGAGCAAATTTCATCAGTGTCCTGTAATCTGTGAAAATTTGACAGAGTCCAGTTCTTGATCGAAATTCATCAGAGTCCAGTTTTCTAGCAAAATTCGCCAGAGTCTACTTTGTGCCAAAATATTCAGAGTCCAGTTCATGATCGAAATTAATCAGAGTCCAATTAAAGACCCAAATTTGGCAGAGACCACATTTTCGCTACTAGCAGTCCAATCCCCCTGAAATTTTAAACAGTCATATTTCAGACGTAGTAAATAAGATCAAGTCAGTTACAGAGCACCAGCTCTTGTCCCCCTGTATTTGCATATTTTCTCTATATTCAGCTGTGTTCTTCACATTTTGTCCATGTTTTCTGTGTTCACTCCATGTTCTTCAAATGTTCACAGTCCCATTCAGTTCATATTTTCACAAGTATCTCCATTTTTTATGTAATCTTTCTCTTAGTCTCATTATGTTCTCTACAAATTCTAGTCATATTTTCTATGTTTTCATGTTCATCACATGTTCTCTTTACAACTTTTATACTCAATATTCATGCTAACTTCCATATTTTGTGTTCTTTGTCAATATTCATGTTCCTCTACAAGTTCATGTTCCTCACAAGATCACTTCGTTTTTCACCTTCACTTACATGTTTTCTACATTCTTTGTCATATTCTCCATGTTCTTCACAAGTCCATTGTTCATTCTTTGTATTCCCTATTCTCCTTATCATGTTTTCATGTTCTCTGTAAGTTCATATTCCCAGCATGTTCACTATATTCATCAACTTTTCTTACATGTGTTCTTTGCCATGTTCCCCCATATGTTCTCTGGGTTTTCCCCTTACATGTTATTTAACGTTCCTTAACTAAAAAAATCTTTCTCCAATCAACTAAAACATAGTCACTTTCGTCATTTCTCAACTAAACCTATTATCCAGTCAACTAAAAATAGTCAGAAATAGCCTCGTTCAACACTGTTCTTAACTAAAACAACCTTTCTCTTAGCTAAAAATTGTCAAAGGAAACTTTTTCAGCACTTTCTTAACAGGCGCTATGTTTCATCAAGAAAAATTGTCAAAGGAAACTTTCCAAAACTGTTCATAACTAGCTTTTATCCATCGTCAATCAACTAAAAATAATAACTTTCATCATTTCTTAACTAAACATATTCCCCATTCATCAGAAAATAACCGTGTTCATCATGTTTCATTGTCATTTCTTAACTAAAATTATCTGCCAATCATCAGAAAAAGTCATGTTCATCATGTTTAAGCTTTTGCTCAACTAAAAGTATTCATCGGTCAACTAAAAATAGTTACTTCATCATGTTTCCTTGTCATTTCTTAACTGAAATATCACTTCTCTCATCTGAAAATAGTCAGGATTAACCTCATTCAACACCGTTCTTAACTAAAACAGCCTTTCGCTTAGCTAAAAATTGTCA